GGCATCTTAAGTCTTGGTAGACAGACGTGTGTATATCTGGTGGAAGGGGACTGGTTTCTTGATCCGTGCTTCCCCCTGCCATCTCTACCACCTTTCCTGAGGTTTGGAATCACCCACACTTCAGGTTCTACTCCATTGCTCATTTAAAGGCTTTGTGGAGTGCCTGGGTGGCTCAGTCAGTGAAGTGTCTGCCTTCGATTCAGGTCATGGTCTTGGGGTCCTGGGATGGAGCCCTGCATCAGGCTCCCTGCTCAGCAGTGAGTCTGCTTCTCCCTCTCCCTTTGCCCCACCTCCCAACTTGTGCTCTCTGTCTCTGAAAGGAATAAATAAAATCTTAAATAAAAAAAATTAAGGCTTTATATATTTTGCCATAATCACACAACCTAAGTCCATTTCTTAGTAAGTTACTCTGGTAGAGCCTTCTTCCCCATCCCTTCCCCATTTCTTGTTCTCATGCAGTCAGAATGCTTAGGCTTTGCTCATTCCCCAGTGTCTACTGTTATGTGTGGTGACTATGTTTATAGGACAAGATGCATGTTACATCTCTTAATTTGCCTGACTCTTAAAGTTTCATATTCTTGTGCTGTGGTCTATGGATATATTTACTCCTTTTTCTTTTTTTCTATTTGACAGACAGAGATCACAAGTAGGCAGAGAGGCAGGCAGAGAGAAGGGGAAGCAGGCTCCCTGCTGAGCAGAGAGCTTAATGCAGGGCTTAATTCCAGGACCCTGAGACCACGACCTGAGCCGAAGGCAGAGGCTTAGCCCTCTGAGCTACCCAGGTGCCCCTCCTTTTTCTTTTTTTTTTAAAGACTTTATTTTTAAGTAATCTCTACATCCAGAGTGGGGCTCGGACTTACAATCCTGAGATCTAGACTCACATGCTTTACTGACTGAGCCAGCCAGGCTCCCCTGGACATATTTCTTCCAGTTATTTCTGGCAGTCCATGGTCACTGGAGTCAAGTGTTTCTATTCTTTTCAGCCAGGGCCTTCCAGATTGGTAGCAGCAGATATCATAAACTTATTGTGTATTAGCTGAAGGCTTCTGGACACAGGTTACTCTCCACTTTCCAATGACACCAAAGAAAGAAAAAGCAAAAACTAGTGACATCAGCTGACATTTTCTATGCCATCCTGATGGTGGGAATATAAACTAGTGAACAGTATAAACAAGCCAGGATTTGAAAACAATTAGAGGGTTAATCTCTGAGGTGTAATAAGGAAATTAATGGGGAAAGTAAAGAAATAGAGAAGTGTAATAAAAAAATGGGGCCAGGAAAATTAAAAATGATTTCTTTAATGGAACCATCCTTCCCAAGAGCTAGTATTTTATTTGGCATTCCAGAAATTTTCAGGGTATTTGTCCAGTGTGTATTTTCATGCATGTTTTCTAGTGCCTTATTTTTTTCTGGTTTAATGACATTTTTTTGGGGGGGGGTCTACTTTTAGTGACTTATTTCCATTTTTGGTGTTGTTTTTAGATTCTAAATAAGACTATTGTCTTTATGTCTAGTCTGAAGATGTCTCACTGATAAGGAAATGTCCTTCTCCTCATTGCTGCCTTACCTCTATGGGTACTCAGAGAGGCAACAATCCATAAGACAGCTCTTGGAGGGGTTTTCTGGAAACACAGGAGGCTGACCAGGGGTAGATGGTATATACATACTTGAAAAGAGCAAAGAAATATGGTTTGCTGATTATAGATGGTGAGTAGAGAAGGTTACAAATGTATTCAGTTAAAGAAACGTCTCCATGAATTGTTTTTTAATTTTTGTCAAGGAGCAAAAAAGTAAATTGAGTGGTCTCCGATTCAGTAGGCCTAGGGTGGGGCCCAAGTATTTGCATTTCTAACAGGGGAAGCTGGTGCTGCCAGTGGAGAGGCTGAACTTTGGGAACCACAGCTTGATGTCAAGGTCATGTCAAGGGCTGGCGGAGAAAGCACCAGTTCTCACCCATAGCTCTGTGTATCAGAGATACCTACTACTTTGGTGTTTGCTTTTTGTCACCTTGGGTGATAAAGAGGAAAGCAGAGAACAAAGTTGAAAGCATATACTTAGGTGACTAGGGAATGGCAAGTCAAGGAATTGGAAGTTTTCATTTTTATTCATATGGTGGGGTGATTTCCTTTCCTTTCACAGGTAGAGCAACAGCTCTCATTCCTCACTGTCTTTCACAATCACCCGGAATGCCCCTGGAGATTCTGATTCAGTAGGTCCTGGGCAGGGTCCATGAGCCTGCATGTTTATTCAGCATCCTGGGTAATTTTGAAGCAGATTTGCTAAGGATTTGCACTTTAAGTAATGCTGATTTTAGAAGAATAAAATAGATGTCCAAGCACAGCCTTAATCCTACATGTGGGAGCAATCAACGACGTTATCAGGCAGATTCTTTTTAGAGTCGGACATAGAAGGCCGGGTGCAAGAGCAGAGAGCAGGGGGACTTTTTTTTTTTTTTTTCTTTTTCCAGGGGGACTTATTTTTAAAAGAAGATGCAGGGAAAGAAGCAGATCAGAGACTGACAGTGAAGGCAGCAGGAAGTGAAGACCAAATGAGCTGATCAGTTAAGAGGGGATGTGTTTTTTACTTGTGTGCTCAAGACCAAATACAGTAAGGAAGAAACTGGGATGAGGGACTCCTTTTTAGTTTCTTAGGTTTTTTTTTTTTTTTTTTTATTTTTTTATTTTAGAGAGAGAGTGCATGACCAAGGGTAAGGGGGAGGAGGAACAGAGGGGGGCAGAGAGGGGACAAGCAGCCTCTGCACTTGAGTGAGGCGCCTTAAGGGGCTCAACCACACCACGCTGAGATCATGACCTGAGCTGAAATCAACTCAGAAGTTCAATGGAATGAACCACCCAGGTGCCTCTACCTTTTCCTTCTGACCAGAGAGCTAGCAGAGAAGTATTCGTCTTTCAAAAGCCAATCATGAGAAGACAGAGTAAGAGTGGATGGCAGGAGACCAAGTGGCACTCTGAGGAGTTAGAGCGAGAGTGGAGCTGGAGGATACTGGGTGTTGCGGACATGTCATCAACAAGGACGATTCCTGTGGCCTCATGGCCGTGAAATAAAATATGTAAGAGTAGCCAGTGCAGACCTCGGGAAAAAACTGTTTTGTTCTGTTCAACCATAATTTAAAAAGAGTGAAAATGTACTCTGTATATTCTCTGTATATGTGAGTTTATGTGAGAATGTGTGTGTGTGTGTGTGTGAGAGAGAGAGACAGAGACAGAGACAGAGATTGAGAGCAGACAGGAAAAGAGAAAACACTGGGCCAGGGACAACTTATTTGAATGGCCGTCAGCATATATGAGTATTCAGTTTTCTGATCAGGCATCAGGAGTGTCTAGGACCTCATCTCTCCTAACATGTTCACTTGCAGTAATAACAGAAGTTTAAAAAAATAAAAAAGCTGTTGAAAGTTCTGCCTTTAGAAGGAAAAAGGAGGGCACCTGGGTGGCTCAGTCTGCTAAGCATCTGCCTTCAGCTCAGATCATGATCTCAGGGTCCTGGGATCGAGTCCCCCATTGGGCTCCCTGCTTGGCGGGGAGTCTGCTTGTCCCTCTACTGCTCTCCCCAGCTTGTGTACTCTCTCTCAAATAAATAATTAAAATCTTTTTTTTTTTTTAAAGAAGGAAAAAGGAAAAAAAAATAATACTCATGTTTCAAGAAAATGTTCTCTCTTGGGAGCAGTGTAGCATAATCTTATTTTTAGTTCTGCCTTGTGCATATATCCATGAATACACAAGATTTGATTTTTACAAGTTCTTTGTCATGCCGTTTACTTCCCCCCAAATTCCATGCTCATTTGATTTCCAATCTCTACTTTAACTGCTTCTTCCCTTGCAAGGTCCTTCTTTTTCCTTCCCTGCTTGAACTTTATCTTTATAACCTAGCTCAAGCCTCACCCTTTCTATAAGATTTTTCCCTGAATATTATAGGGGTTTCTTCTCTCTTTGGATTTAAATTACAGGTAAGGATTACCTTCTATACATCATCCTATCCTTTTGAGCTCAAGCAAGAAGTGTTTGCATTCAGGAGCTTTCCAATAAATAATTGCACAATGAATGAGGAAAGAAATAGAGCTTGAATCCTCCACAGACAGAAACTTCTGGTTTCCTCCCCAGCATCTGTTCTAATCTACCTGCTCCCATCACATAATGGCCAATGGCTGGCTAGTGTGGACTCCTGTCTTAGATCCAGGAATGGGCTTTGATTGCCCAAATCAATCGGTATAATTCTGGCTAAAGCGATTGGTTCAGGCATAGACCCATGATCCCACCTGGTCCAATCAGAATGAAGCTCAGGACACATCTGAGTCTGTGGTGGGGAGAAATTCTCTGTATGGATCTTTTAGTAGGCAGATGTGATGACTGGAACTGTGGGGATCCCTCTGCTCATGTCGGGGAAAGCAGTGTGAGGGTAAGGCCACCACCCAGGAGAAGGCAGGGTATCATTCGGCGTGTGGGTCAAAAGCTTGATGAGACCACGCTAAAGTCACTGCCATCTCTGGACGTTTCAGCCATTTTAGCCAGTATGTTCCTTTATAGTTTAAGTCAAGAAAGGAGATTTTTCTGTTACTCATATGCCTCCCTATTGTTGGTTGAGTTCCCCCTATTTTTAAATCTTTGAGACATAATATGTAATTTGTCGTCTTGCAGCCAAATTCGTTTAGGGAAAGAGCAGCCAGCCGTCTTGGATGGCATTTACCCCTAGGAAGATCGTTACGTATTTTTGCTCTCTGTGCCGATTGTAACCGAAGTCATGTTCGCAAGTGGTAAAAGACTACATCTGAGAACAGTTTCTACCACAGTTTCTGTTCAAGATGACCTGTGTTCTTAGGCACACAGTACTGGTATAGACTTCTTTGATTAATTTGTATCAGATGCTTCCTGGACATTGACATCCATCCCAACTGTGTGTACATCAGGATGCTTACAGGCCTTTGGAAAAGATAAGCTTTTGTGTAACATCAGTGTTTATGATAGTATGCTAAAGGCAGATACCTTTTCGGTGAAACTGAAGAGACCCCAGCAGACATATGGATTTGAGCATCTCTGTTGTGTACATTTCTAAGCAGCACTGCAGCTGGATATAAAGCCGACAGATTTCTGGATGGATCTCACCATCTTCCGGGCTGCAACAGAATGAAGGAGAAAAGCCGTGAGCATTTCTTAAGATTTCACTCCTCAGCCATTTGTCTCAGCTCTGAGAGGGGAAAATGCTCCATAAAGATTCCTTTAAGCCTTGACTCTAAAATATAGGACGACTTCCTGCTTTCATAGCAATGACCAATGTCACAGTTCTTACATAAGCGTCTTTCTAACAGCTCTTAATTTTTTTTTTCCCCCTTAGCAGCAGATTTCTGCTGGGAGCTTAAAATCATAAATGTTTTAAGTAATTGAAAGTATCATTTTCCATTTAAGGGTTGAAACAAATTTCCAAAATATTTTTAAGTCATAAGACTCTCCTAGCCACAAAAAGAGATTAAAAACTTTTATTTTTAGAGAAACTAACAAAGAGCTATTCAATTATCAACCATGAGAGCTTTTTAATATTAAGATCCTAGAATAATATGATTAGAGAGCCAAGATATCAATTATTTTGAGCAAGGTCTTTTGTCTCAGTCTGAAGAATATTCCTTTATTGTTTGCTATAGTTAATTTATAAAAGGCCAACTAATTTTAATAAAAACATAAAAATTTCATGAAAAAGAAAAGTTATACAATTATAATAATTATGCTTAACAATCTAAAGCTAATTAATTACTGAACTTATGCTCTAAAATTTATTCTCAAGTCCATGAGCCTTTCTCTGTTGATTCTGGTAAAATGTACAAATGGGGGGCACCTGGGTGGTTCAGTCAGTTAAGCATCTACCTTTGGCTCAGGTCACGATCTGGGGGTCCTGGGATTGAGCCTCATGTTGGGCTCCCTGCTCAGTGGGGAGTCTGCTTCTCCCTTTCCCTCTGCCTCCGCCTCCTGCCCCCCCACCACTCATGCTCTTTCTCTTTCTCTCAAATAAATAAAATCTTTTACAAAAATGGATAAATGGGAATATGATAAAACATGGAGTGATCACTTTTATTTTTATTAAGGGAATAATTAGTTGTCATTGAAATCTTTTTATGCCATTAAAATAGCATGTACTGAATAAAGCAAACTAAATAAAAGGGATAAAATTTAGAGATACATTAGAAATGGAAGTAGCCTAGAAGTGAGCTCTGTCACATGTCCTAATGTGTTACCTTTATTTCTATCCCTGTTCATTTAGAATGCAATGAAATCTGATTAAATAATGCAGCATTTGGATTTGATTCCTTTATAAAGTGGTTGCTGGCACAATGTGAGGGACAATTATCAGAAAAGAATGATGACTTGATTTTTATTTAAGCTCTGGACTCACAGTAAAAAGAATTTGCATTTATGTAGCACTTTACAATGATAATCAATTTTCATTTTCCATACTTATTTAGTAGATGAACTAGAGTTTATCTAACTATCTGGCTTATGTAACAGAAAAATGCACCATTTTTTGGTCTCGGTACTATCGATGCCTGCAAAGTTATTCTGTCTTTCCTGTGTCACAACAAAGTGCCTCAAAAGAGCTTACATGCAAAATTTGGCTTTCTCTGGAAAATAAACGATGTTAGTTTCTTATTTGTGTCTGATGGGTCCAGCCCTAGGCTAACGTTGAAAACAAGTGTCTCTTTTGCAAAAGTTCCAGATTTTCTTTAAGAGCTTCCTCCCACAGGTGCCTTTCACCCTCCAGCTGTCTTCCTGCTCCCTGGGGTTCTTCCTCCCCCCTCACCACCACCGCACACAGTGTCTCGCTCCTTCCTGTCACCTTCAGCCTTCAAATGTCTCTGACTGTGTTCCATCCCTTCGGGTTCTGCCAGACTCTGGAGGAAAAGTGGGCATTAATGGTTTGTTTAATAAAAAGTGATATTCATGTATTACCTGCTAATACATTGGTTGATAGGAAATTTGATAGGAAAATCTGAAGATAAGTGTCTCATCCCTAAGGCAGGCTAGCAGAAAAATATATTAAGGCAGTCAGGTTTTTCATGAGTGTCATCCCAGAATCTTTTCACCTGTGTATAACATTGGCCCTGCAGGCACATAGGCACGTTAAAAATAAAAAAAAGAAGAAGAAACCTATGATAAATCTGTGGTATATATTGCACATTTGATGTGTGGGACAATTAGTCACTGTAATATCATTTCAAGCCATGGAGTATTTTTATTTTCAGAAGTACAAAATATGTGCCTAGTGGTTAGTTCCCCAAATAGGCAAACTCATGTATAGGTGACATTTTATGTAATTTAAACAAATGATTACCATATTAACATATCATAAGAACCAGTATGTTTTATTATCTTACAGCTACACAGTGAGCGATAAAGCTGTGCATTTAGTGCTCCTGAAAAAGGCAAGTCAGGACAGAGATTAAAATACCTAGTTCATCACATTCCCTCAGGTGCCATCTCCCTACTGCCTCTGTAACCAGGGGAATCCTCAAAACTGTGGAAGCATCTTGCTCTTCTAGATGTTACAGAAAGGAACCTAATAGGTGCCACCAGAAATATAATCAACAAAAATTAATCGATACTAAGGTTGCATTATAAATTTTCCAGTTCAAAAATTCTTACGTATCCTTGCACAGTAGCCTTTAATATCTTGGAGAATTGAAGTACGAAGAAAAGTTAGTTAAAGAGCAGTGGAAAAGTTAACCTATCATTCGTATTGGTGTTCCATGAGATGCCTTGACCGGGTTCCGTCGGCTTCAAGATGTGTACAGTTTATTTCTCCCACTTCTGAGCTCTTGGCTGCATTACTGCTACTGCTCACTAAAAGCTCACTAAAAGACAGAATGCCAGATGACTTACATCTAATATTATGAGCAGTGGACTGAAATGCGTTTTTGATGAGCATTAAGATCATGTAGGTTATTTTCATGACAAATAAGCAATAAAGTTAGAGGAGGCAGAATGCAGCAAAAGCCAAGAAAACAGTGGTGTAAAAAGCTTGAAAACTTTCTAAGCATCAATTAGAAGGCCGGAGGAAGAATTTGCATTAAGAAACAATTAGGCCTATGACTTCCTCCAGCAACTGGAAGCAATTTAACTGGGAGAAAACTTTACCACCTATTACTTAAGCTTCATCTAAATGGACTCATTCTTATTAATAACATGTTTAGGTCTAAGAGAGTGACCGCTGTGGTGGTGCCCATGTAATTCAGTCAAAGCCATTTTATAGGTTAGTGACTAGGTTGTGCTTATTTCCTTATTTTTCTAATGGGTGTAAGTCAAGACCTAACCTGACCATTTTGATGAATTTGAAATTCTTAGTGTTAATGAAAAACATCCTAAAGATTAATGATATTCAGTGAACTGGAGCTCAGGTTGAAGCCAAAATTGTTTAAATAACTATCAAATAATGAACCTTTCAGTCCTAAAGGAGGAGAATCAAGATTTAATTTTTTTTTTTTTTTAAATTTGAGAGAGAGTGAGAAAGAGCATGAGAGAGGAAAGTGTCAGAGGGAGAAGCAGACTCCCTGCTGAGCAGGGAGCATGATGTGGGACTTGATTCCAGTACTCCCCGGGATCACGACCTGAGCCGAAGGCAGATGCTTAACCGACTGAGCCACCCAAGCGCCCGAGATTTAATGTCTTAATCACATGGCTTAAGAAGCCTGAACTGGTATATAGTACTAGTGGGCTATAAATATAAATATTGCCCAAGATGCCCCTTGATAATGCAAGTGTAGGTATACTTGGTGGATATTCTTGTTGGGTAATTCAAAAAGTATTATGATAAACACCCACTAGAATGGCTAAAATTAAAAAGACTGAAAACACCAAATGTTGCTGATGATGTGAGCAACAGAGACTCTCATACACTGGTGATGCGAGTTAAAACAGTACAACTGCCTTGAAAAGGGTTTGGGAGTTTCCTATGACGCTAAACATACCTCCTTTTGACCTGGAAATTCCATTTCTAGGTATTTAACAAGAGCAATGAAAACATAGTCACAGAAAGATCTCTATAAGACTGTTCTTAGTAGTCTTTGTTAGAATACCTAAAAACTGCAAAGAGCCCATCTAGAGGAGAGTGGATATAAAGAACCTAGTATATTCTTACAGTAGAGTAATGCTCAACACTTAAAAGGAGTAAAGTGATACACAAAACAACATGAATGACCCTCAAACACAGGATCTTGAGAGAGAAAATCTTTAACACCAAAGAGTAAATACTGTATGACCCCATTTATATGTAGTTCTGGAAGAGATAAAACTGATTGTCAGTGATAAAGATTAGGATAGTAGTGCAGAGGGAATTTGGGAAGGGGCATGAGGAGAAAGAACTTTTCTGGGGTGGGGATTACAATTCCCTGTCTAGATAGAGGTTTGAGTTACATGGGTATATACATTTGGCAAAACATACTGGATGGCACGCTTAAGATTTGTATATTTGATTATATGCGAATTTTACTTAAAAAAATAAGAACCATCAGCGAATACTGAATTCTAATGAATGATATTCAAGCCAAACTACTTAGGGGTAAACGTCACTGATATCTGCAACTTCAGGAAAATAATATGGGTTGTGGGGTGGCTAGAGGAATGGACAGACAGGGCAATAACCCGTTAGAGGAAGTGTAAGAGAATGTTAATTGTAGAATCCAGGTGGTGGGTATTTACTTGCCGTCCAAGGATTTATAGTTCCCCAAATAATTACATGGCATTAATTAAACAAATCAATAAAAAAAAAAAAGAAACTTTATGACTAGTAAGGTCAAGTTCCGGCGTGGACACACTAGGGATTTTGGTTAGGAAATGCTTTCGCCCCACATCTGTCTGTTCTTTGGTCAAGGTTGCCAGATTTTGGTGTTCTATGTTGCTGCTACCGGCTTTTTAAAAAACAGCAAAATTTTTGTTGTTTTGAAAGTCTGTGCCCAAAGTCATGATTTGTATATTCATTCGAAGGCAGCAAGACATAAAAACAGGGGAGTGGGTCTGGAGTCCGAAAACTCAGCTCTAGGGGCGCCTGGGTGGCTCAGTGGGTTAAGCCTCTGCCTTTGGCTCACATCATGATCTCAGGGTCAGAGAGCCCCGCATGGGGCTCTCTGCACCG